TTTTCACACCGTGCGTTGCTTTAAAAGCTGTTATCGGTTTACCTTACTGGGCCAGCATAATCGGTATCGTCACGATATCGGTAATTTTTACGTTAATGGTATGTCTCAATGTCAAACCTAATCAAAAACAGCTTCAAGTTTCCAAAATTTATTATGGTTGATTTTGCAGGGAGGTTTGAAGGCTGCCATTTTATCAGACGTTATACAGGGACTCATGATGATAGGAATATCGATAGTTTTAATCGTCCAAGGTACCGTAGAAGTACCAGGTGGAGTTAAACAAGTCCTCAATGTCACTATCGAACGTGGTCGTTGGGAATTCTACAAGTAAGTACACATATCTTCTAAATCAAGAATTTTCTCCGTTTCGTATTCTTGTTTAACACAGCTTTGTGTTCTTTTATTATTATTACTAATAGCTTCGACATGGATCCTACGCTACGTGTAACGACAGTATCAGCAGTGCTCGGTCAGCTTTTCATGAGTCTATCTATTTTCGGATGTCAACAGAATTTCGTTCAGAGGTACTGCAGTATGAAAAGCAAGAGAGAAGTTGTGAAGTAAGAGTCATTTAATACTATTCTATAAAAAAAAAAATTTGAGCGTATCGTATAGTGAATTTTTTAAAAATAAGTCTATTAGAAGAGAGTCTTGGATAAATTTAAAATAACTATAAGGTTATATATCAAAGACAACAAAATTAATTATGATAATTAAACAGAGATGTATCGATTAATAGCATTTCCATACGCATGTCCATAAATTATTTTTGGATTAAAATTGCATTTTTGAGTAATCGATAATAGGTCTGTTTTCGAAAAGTAGAAAATAGATGTTTGATTAATGATTATGCATTAGCATCTTCCACTTCCTGATAAGTAATTGCCGGTGAGGTAGATCGTATTAATACGCGGGACTTCCAATAAATGAAATGAAAATGGCGATGTTAATAGTTTTTACATATGACTATACACGTTATTATGATATTACTTCTTATAGAAAATTACAATAATAACAATAATCGACGAGCGAATTATCACTACGCAACCTTGTTTGTTGCGGAACATTATTGAAAGCTTATTTTTATTATTTCACAGTAACTATGTTCTTTTCATTTTTACTTGTAAAATACTCTTTTTGTGTTTTCAATACATCTTTCTTCACAAAATAACAAACCAATTAAAGCATTAACTAGTTGTATTTTTTATAAAAGGTAGTAATTCTTAAATATTCATCTTGAAACCTTTTCGTCGACAAAACAAATGCTTACAGAGACTTCCTACTGTTTTCTCAACAAGAACATCTGGAAGGAAAATAATTAGATCCAATGTGAACGCGTTCGCATGCTCGTTAATTATGTTTCTGAACATTTGGATCACGAGACGAAGAAGAATCATTATACCGAAATCTTTTTGTCATTGTACATTATTTTCTTTTATTTTATAAATCTATTCTCTCACGAAAACGTCAATTGATAATTCTTCTTTAGCATGTAGCTCGATAAATCGTGTTGAAGGTATTTCAACGAGGTCATTTAAAAATTATATAATTTTGTTGATAAAAAGAGATATAGTCAATAATTTTCAACATTATTAGTTAAACTGTTGTCTATAACGGGAAAATCGTTAAAATTTTTTACGGTATAATTTTATGAATTTTTCATATATCCATAACGTTAGCAATGATAGCAAATTAGGAAATATGTTACAAATACGAGAATAAAAAAAAAATTACGGAGAGTAAATACGTTATCTATTAACATGTCGTGCCTGTGTTCTCTTTGAAAAAATTATTCAAAAGTGGATTAAACGGCGTTCTCAAAAGTCGAAATAATTCGTAAGCTATCTTTCACTTGCGAAACCCACCCAACTACGTTGCTTCTCCCTTGAGAATTAAATAATTCGATTCGTCGACGCATAAGTTTCCTAACTCTCACTTGATTCTTGTTTATCTACAATGCGATAATACAAATGATAATTATAACGATGATGATCCTCATAGAAATAGTCGTATGAACGACATAAAAAGAGAAAGAAAGAGAGAGGTGGATACCTACTTGAAAGTAAGAAAACAGTGCCGCAGGATTGTATTTTTGAATAATAAACAAGTAGCTAGCGGCATTGTTTGCCTCATTAAATATAGAAATGGTCGGAAAACGCGGGTTTTCGACCAGACGACTAACAAATGGAATGCAATATAAAGCTGAGAACGGTTCAAATTGCTACTGAATTCAAGCTAACCAATCGGTCAAAATAAAGAAAATTGTAATTGTCCATTAATGTATCGATTTATCTTTCCTCTGCATTAAACGTTTTTATTATGAAATAATATATAAGATTATTAGGCTACAAAGATTATGATTTTCGGGCGATTGTTTCGAACAAACTTGTCAGAACAAACTTGTTTGAAAATGATTAAAATCGCGTCATTATTGTTTCTATAAGAAAAGAAAGAAGGAAGAAGAAAAGTTCGTCCTTTGAAACAGTTAGATCGTACTTTCAAATTTTTCAAAAATCGCTCTCCTTCGATGTAATCGATGTAATCGATGGAACCATTCGTCGAGGTAAATGGCACAAGGCCAAAACTTTCAGTATGAAATACTCGACGTCCAATAAGGTCGATAATATCAATTCAGATCCGATCAACATACGTTCTTATCCATGGAAATCGAACTCTCGCGTATAAATCTTTCGACTACGTTATTCGTTGGAAGAACACATACACGAAACTTGGCTCCAATCAAGCCGAGAACCAAGATAATCCACTGAGTAAAGTCGAATATAATCCGAACCTAATTCCGTACTAACTCGAGTTGGATTCTCCTTTATCTTCTTCTACCTCTCTTTCTATTACTCTTATTTTCCTAATCGTAACCTGAATTTTCATATATTCACAAACTCGAAACAAATGTTTTTTTTTTCTTTTCAGGACTATGATGGCAAACGTACCGACCATTGCTGTTCTCTTCTCGCTTTCCTGGGTGGTGGGAATGGTGATCTTTGCCAACTACGCCGACTGCGATCCTTTCAGTTTAGGTTATATCTCCAAGTTTGATGAGATTGTGCCGTTCTTCATACAAGACAAATTTCTTAACATGCCAGGTCTATTAGGTTTGGTAATGGCGACTCTCTTCAACAGTGCTCTAACGATAGCTGTCTCAAACTTGAATTCTCTGGCAACGGTAACGTTCGAGGACTTTCTAAGTCAAATTCCAGCACTGAGTAATCTCAAAGATACAATGCAGCTACGAATGATCAAGATAATGTCCGTCTTCTATGGAGTACTAATAATCGGTATCAGTTTCGTCGTAGCTATGCTATCCGGAGTGATAGAATCGTCAATGCTAATGACATCGGCTACTTCCGGCCCTCTATTAGGCGTTTTCATTCTAGCAATGCTCATACCGTGTGCTAATTGGAAAGGTGCAGCCGCAGGAATGATCTTCAGTCACTGTACAACACTTTGGTTGACTTTTGGACATCTCACTGTGGAAACGAAAGATGATATATTATCCTTGTCAACGGAAGGCTGCCAGAATGATACATTCTCATCTTGGATAACGAAACCAAGCAATATGTTAAATTCCATATCAAACGTATCAGCAATTGTCAACAATCATAATATCGAACCATTGAGTCTGTTAAGCAAAGAAACCTCCGAAAATCCACTGATCTTTATTTATGGGATTACTTATATGTATTACGCTCTGATTGGCAGCGTATCAACAGTTCTAGTCGGAATAATAGTCAGTCTATTCACGGCTAATCCCAAAGAAGACACTTACGAACTACACTTGCTCCATCCTATAGCGTACAAATTGTCGAAGTTCTTCCCGGGTAAAGAGAGACTCTATGCGAGTAGTACACGTCTCGACAATGGAAGCAACGCAATGAATGCTACTTCTTCCTGCTCTATTACATCGATTTCGACTGGAAACGAAAAGACAACTACAGTTCATGGAATGTTAGATAGTGACGGAAAACTTCACTTTGAACCCGATTATATCCAAAAACTAAGCGCTCTGAAGGGTGTAAATTCGTTGGAGGTTACGAATGAAATTTTCAAGGGAACGAGACTATGAGAATGCTCATTAACAACTAGTCCAAAATTCATTTCGTTGATCACACTCGGTGTCATGATATTGTGGATGTGCAAGCTTACTGCCAGACTGTGAAATCAAGTTGAATATTGAACGATATATAATTCCGATTGAAATATTCGAACTGGACCGACACTTAGATTCGACGTGCCATAATAGAATAGACACGCGGTTCTCAAATTCCAAAAAAATGATCGACTGTCAGAACGTATGCGATCAAAGACAGATTATTTAACGGATGTAAAATTTTAATATGCCTTCCTGTATGATACCAAACACAGCCGAATCTTGATCGAAGGCACAACAAGCGTTCTAGCTTCGGCGAAAGACTGACGATCCGGTCGTTGACCGGTGATATTCACTTTTCTGCCATTTTTTTCTTCTTATTGTTCTTTATTACGATATATGAGAGATCCAAACTTTGGAAGGATTTGCGATTACATTTTCGGGATGAAAAATATTCATCGACTCGAACGAATTTCGTGTCTAGATACTTTTTTGCTATTATAGATATTTGATCATTTGATATTATTTAAAATGAGAGAAAAGAAGTATTGCGAGTTCGAGCTTGAATTTAATTAAATTTATCATAATAATGAATTACAAACAATGAAAGCGTACGTATATTTGATACGCAAATTTTAGTTTGCGCTTTTTAATTTGATTTTATTTCTCCTTTTTTTGTTTTGTAAATATCGCAGTGTGCGCCATGATTGAACAATGAATGAGATAAATTCTATAATGCCATAAATGTCTATAATTTGACATCAATGAGCATATTTAGCTTTAACACTAATTCTACTATTTTATAATAGTTCGAATATATATATATAAATATATAGCGTAGAAAATTTGTTAATGTTGGATGAGATAATGGATTTTTGCTAAATACGTATAAATGTAGATTTTGTACCAAATTAGCGTTTATTATTCTTAAATATAATCTTCACAATTGAACATAGAATGTTTCAATTTATCCAATATATTCTATAGCTCGTTATACGCACGGTCCATAATTAAGATAATTAATTATTAATAACAAAGCCAGCTGAACGCACAAAGCCGTTGTGTATTATAATTTACTTTATGCTTTTGAAGAGAGTGTTTCCTTCAGTATAGAACGAATAGTACCTTCGAATAAATGCTGTTGGTTGATAACTCAAATACTTGCTCGGTCGATAAAGTAAGCAGCAATCGACAAAACCTGCTTAGTAGATAACGAATAGGAATTACTTCGATTAATTTTTATCTTATAGATATGGCCATCGTCAGTGAGATTTCCTAGTTACAAGATTTTTTCACTATTTCAATCTATATATATATATATATATATATATATATAACGAAAATGTGCATTCTCCTACCTGTATTTCGACTAACATGTTGGTAGCACTGTTATACTATGGTATATATATAGAACGATGCGGCTGGTTATCGATTGGGCTGACAAAGGCAGATTAAAACCTTCTGTTTTCAACTCTAACACCAAGCGTCGAAACAAAGCCCCCATATCTCCATTTTTTTCTTTCTCTGGTTTTTGAATATTTTGGTAAAAGATAAATTACATTTTTCTTCGGAAAAAATAGTTACCGAAAAGGTGGAAAAAATTCGTCGATTTTACTGAAAAATAAAAATAAATAAAACTACATTGCATTATCAAAAATAAGAATCTATTTTGAAGTATGCTCTTAAAAACTATAATAGAGTAGTTTGAGATTATGATGTATCACGAAGTCTTTAAAATGCAAGAATTGTAATTCGGTATTGAAATTTACAGCGAAAAGGCGTGATTACGACAGGCGGTAAAGTTGAAAGCGCTCTACGGGGAAGGTCACGAAACTGTCAGTGCGTGGAAACTGTAGAGCCGACGATGACGTACCACTGCCATCTCCATTGGTGTAGTAGCAGTGGTAATGGCAGTAGTAGCGGTGATAGCGACAAAAGCGTGGCTGGTTATATTCGTGGAAAGCGACGAGGCGGATGGTTTAGTAGTCGGAAGACCTGTGCTGCATTAAGTTATTTGTTATATCGTTTCTTCATATAACAACGTTCGTCATTCATTTTCCTTTCTGCACGGCAAGATAAGTCAATCACGTGGTCTATCACCTGGTGATAGGTTCACCTTCTTTTTTACGTTCAACTTTATCAAGTTGGAATTTGACCGAAGGTCAAAATATGTTTGATTTATTCGGAATTCTGGATTCGTCGTAGCGTCTCCAAGCGATCGTCGATTCGTCTCCCTTCTACCTACCTTCGTTTCTCACTTGTTGACATTTTTTTTCTTTCCCTTCTCTTGTCAGACGAATGTTACAATCGGACAAACAACCGTGGTAGTAAGTTAGGAGTGAAACTCCGATATTACATATATACCAGAATTTTCGATCAACACGCGACTTCTCTCTTGCCAGTGAAATACGCTTCTCATCATGGCAGTCGAGTCGAGGTGAGTTTTCCTTCCAGTCTTCTCTTTCGATGTATGTGTCGTATTATACGAGTATATATACCACTCTCCACAATCATCACTTCTACTACGTAGATGCGCGAAAGAAAGAACGCCATTCATACTCTGAGCACGCCGGTTCGATGCTCCCGCAATCCTCTTTTCCCTTCTTTTTCTCTTCCTTTTTATTTTTTAGGGACGGTATGTCTCACCGGCTGTCAAATCCTTTGTTCACAAGCTAACCTCTATACCTGTCAGTCGATCAAATTCCGTACTAATCTTTCAGATTTCTTATTCATAGAAAGTATATTTAAAACAAGCAACAAGGACAGACGATAATTTTGATGTCTTTCTCGCAATAAAATTAAGAAAAAGAAATAAATTTGTATGTATGGTGCGTTTGACCATAAAAATTGGTACAGATTAATTTATAAAGAGTATTTTTTAAATAAATTTTTCTCGAATCATGTATTTAGCTGTTTCCTACTATTCTTTTTCATGTTATTATTATTTCACAACATTAATTATAAACAGTATATTTAGAAATAATCTTATTTTTATCACTGAACATTTCCACTTTATCTTTTCCTTCTTCGCTTTTTTCTTCCTGAAAAATAAAGTATTGCAAGTGTATGCATAATTAAAGCCCATGTAAGAATATATGATCATAGCGACGTAGTAAATATCACCTTATTTACGAGAGCTCGTAATAAATACCGAATATTGAAATTTTAATGTCCGATGAAACAAATCTTTTAACACATTGTTGATCGGCAATTTTACTCAGAATTTATCTCATGTCATCAGTTATTATTTCGTAATTGGATGTGGAAATGAAATAATATAAATAAACTTTTTTTATAATGGTTTAATATAAATAAATTTTATTTAATATTTAACTTTTAATATTTCTTTTTGGTATAATAAACGGTGTAGCAATCATCTACGTGTAATGGTACACAACAGGTTTTGAAAAAAAAGAAAATTAGAACCTTTGGCAAGCCACGGTTTTCCACAGTGTTTTCTTTCTTAGTAATATTTCAGCTGTAGAAATGCTATTATAATAATTATCTTGGTATATATGATGCCAATGACCAAGCTATGGATCCAACATAGATAATATGGTTTCTTGCAGCTTTTTTCCTTGTCTCGAATAGATTTCCAAGTTGCGTAAAAGTTGATATATTCGCCAAAGTTTATTAGTAAATGTTTTTTTTTATATATTTATCATAAATCCACTAGTTATTATTACAAGGTAAAATCGTTACTCAAAATATATATTTATATATAATCAAATATATATATATATATATATATATATATATATATATTATTTAACGAGATACGGTTATCGTCCTTCAAATTATGATTCCCTTTTTCGATTTACTGAAAATTTGTTTCGTTCGTTGGTTGTTCGTGTAGACTAAGCAGATCCGCGCACTGAAATAATATTTTGTATATTGTCCGCTTTAACCTTATCTTCGAGAAAAGTTACTATTATTAAAGCGAGATAGGCAAATTATAATCACATTTGACTTTACAAACTCGATACCTACCGCTCTCTTTCTCTTTTTTTTGTTTATCTATTCATCGTGTAGGAAAGCATCCTAAAGATTTCGAGTTTATCTGCTTAGAAGAACATTTCCTATTATGTATCTCCTATACGTTTATACATAATATTGTAACATAATATTTTAATCTAATATCAGATAACACTAGATAGCATTGGATAAACGTTCTTATCGGCTTTTATCATTTCTTTTTCGAATGCTTTATCGATAGATATTTACATTGGTAGCAAACGTAAGATGATCACGTAACATTTGTGCATATTGTTAATATAAATGCAAATGCATCGTACGCAACTATCTTCAAGCATCGCCATCAGAGAGCCTAGTTAATAATTACTTTCAACAGTTAATCCAGTAACTTGTTACTAAGTAGAATCTCTTCGCGAATTTCATCTCAAACTCTTATAGTCGTATTTAATAGTTGTTTTCTTGGATCCCCGTTGAAAATTTTAAAGAACTCTTCATGACTTCGAGACACGTTTTATTGATTACGGCTTGATGGTCGAAGACCATGTGACCACTCATTGTATGTCTTCTGTCGAGAAAAGGAAACAAGTCACGGATTTTACAAGACAAGCTTATCTCAGAATGAACTTTTTATCATCATTTTTTTATATCAAAGCCATTAAATTTTCTTGATATGATATACAAAATTTTTTGTAATACGATATATACATTGAGTAAGCATAATGTAATTAAATTAAATACTTTAATCTTTATTCGCACGTCGATCTTTATCAGTTCATATTCTAAGAATAAAATTATTGGCTTATGATAATTAAAATAATATAAATATTTATATTATTTTATAAATTTAAATTATATTAAATTTAATTTAAATTTATAAAATAGATATTTTCGACTGTATTTCCACTATAAATTGTCTAAATTTCGTGGAAATACTACATCGATTGTAGTGCTCGACGTGGTAGTGGATTTATTCATCTCACTATTTAATTTTAAATTAAATTTTTTCTTCAAGAATGTGATCGATCATTGTGCTTCTTTTAGACCAAAATTAATGTTGATATCTCCATTGAGAATCATTGATAATTTTTCCAGATTTGTTCTCAACAATTTTGTGGTTTCATTAGTGTAGCAAGATTTTTTGAATGACATCCAATGATCTCATCAATATTTTTGTTCGATCATCACTATATAGGTGACAACCGTAAGAATCATTCGTCTATTTTCCAATCAATATTGAGGTATACAAAAATCAATAATTTCTGTGGTATGGATACCCACTGAATTGATTTGTTTTAAATTAAAATCTATATTATGAGTCATAACGTTCATCATGTAAATTACTACTCTTCCAGCTCTCATATTTCAACGTTTAACTTGACTTATTCGTTATCTATGTGAAATTTGCCACGAGCCGATGTATCGGTCTCGTACGTTATGATTTTTTTTAGGAAGTTATTCGCAGAAGCGTCCATGTCAAATCGGCTGTGGCATTCTTCGCATGTATCACGTAGATAAGCCTAGCATTAAAAAGGTTAAATTGTACAATAAAAATTAGGAATGTCTATTTTTATTTTGTTCTTCATTCATGTCTCTGATAATAGCAAAATCATCTATGTCCACAGAATGAACCCGCAGACTTTGACGATTAAACATATAAAGCGAAAGTATTCTTTTATTATAAAATCAGTTAAAACTCTGTCCAATGTTTGTAATCAATTAAGATTCAGCCTTCATCTTGTAAATAAGCCACTAAATTGTTTTCGATTTTAATGAAACTTTGGATTATTATCTTTTATAACGGTATAGAGTCTGTTAATGTTCGTGACTCATGATAAAACTACATACATCAATTGTCATGATTATGTTTTGCCGTTTTTATAAATACGATCTATCTGAAAATATTTGCTTGAGATTTGTGAATATTAATGGCTAAAACAAGTACTAGTGATAAGTGATTCCTTTTGACAACCATGGATTTATTATTTTTTAATAGAATTTTAGATGTTCGTCTTTTTATAAAGGCATTGCTGTTTGATTGAAACCGTTTGCCTAAATAAATAAGCAGCACCAACACATTCAGTGCTCTTTTGTTTTACTATATTGAAACTCACAAAATTATACAATTTTCGACAAACATTTGCCAACACATAATATACTGCAAAATTTACAGTATCCACTGCGCAAACGCATTACGTATACGAGGTAAAAGAGAAAATAGGAACGTTTCTTTTTTTCCGTTTTTGGCTTTTTATGACTAAAAAATTTTTTTCTGTCAATGCTGTCATACGGAAAAACGAACCAAGTTAGATGCTCTCTTGCGCTGCATAAAATATGTTTTACGAGCATGTAAAGTTAATATAACAGATCGATAGAGAGCTGCAATTAACGTATGTGTACGTAATATAATATATTCTCATTTTCATCAACGACACACTCTAGACCGCCATTTTTTCTTTTATGAATTTATGTTATATTATACGGTGATTTAAAGATTAGTTATGGTTTACATGTTTTTTTTTGCTTTTTGTTCTCGTTTTTTCACATTCTTTCTTTGTATTTTTTATAGTTCTGTCAAAATTACGTTTCAAACAGCTTGGATTGTCATTTTGGTACTGTAGGCTTTCTTTTTCCTCTTTTTTTTTTTTACAAAGAAAAATATACAGAAATAAATAAATGAAAATTTGTGAAAAATAATATAACAGGAGATTACGAAAAGATTTATAAAATACTCGATTGAAAGAATAATGTTGTATTTTCATAAGAGATGAACCATGAACGTGAATTACGTTTTCATGGCGTGAACTACGACTTGTGAACATGCTATTATAAAGATTGCCTGTGATATCAATATCTCTATGATTCAGTCATGAGAGAATAAAACCGGTTTGATTTTCTATCATGGTAGTAACAAGTGCGAAACAAAATGTCTATGCAAATAATTATACTTTTCAGTTATTAAAACATCAATATATTAATTAAATTATTACATATATATTAATTATTATATATGTTAATTAAAACATTAATGTATGTTAATTAAAACATTAAAAATTCTATGTGAATACTTCACGCTTTCCATTAGACATAAAAAAATCTGAAATGATTCACGTGTATAATTTATGAATCGGCTTTTTTTAATCGGTTAGTTTATCATCTACTACAGTAGTATATAATAAAAGGGATTCGGTTAAAGGGTATCAGGCAAGTTTTGACATTTGGTTTTGTCAGTAAAAACTACATTCGGCGATTCGGTGAAACAAACGAATCAGTCGTTAGTGGTGCATATATCGTAATAACGACGTTCATACGAATCAGAGATTCAATTGTTCTATCGGTAGATGCAGCATTAAATCAAGTCTATCGATGTTCAATTATTCAAGTAAACAAAGCAAAATCAAACAAAAAAGTTCCAAAAGGTCGAAAACCTAATTATGTGAACTTCAATAAACTCGCGAGAAAATTTTCTTGATGCAGGTAACATAAAAGATACTCAATAAATTTAACCACTTGCGGTGTAAAGAAATTCACGGTTGCAAGTGCCAGAACAGTTGAGTGCAAATCACTTAGGGGCGCAAATAACATCACTGGGTTCACTATCACTTTCCATTTTACAGTCTGGGGTCAATACTGGTAACTTTACATGATGAAGTGTAAGCAGAAACTGTATCTCGGTAAAGAATTTCATTAACAATTGACGTGCCACGCATGTCATTTTGTATTGAAAACTGTGTATTTTAAATTAATAAGAAAGAAAATGAAGGCACATATTTACTTTAGAGTTAAATTATTGTGAATTGCTCTCGAGAGTATTAAGACATGAACACGTATTCATTCAAGAAATATGAATGCCTTGAATCCTGATTAAAGATCATCATATATATTGAAAAGATTAATAGTTTGTATATCTATGAGATTTAAATAAAAGTATTAATTGTTGTCTGAAATTATTCATCTTACGGAAGATTAATCTTAAAATAAGCGCGTAGATAGATTTAAGACTCAAAAAATCATTAATTGCCAAAATATAAAAATTAAACGTGATAAACGTTCTTAGACTAACTTTAGAAAGAAAGAAGAAAAATGGCATGATGAAATAATGACCATTAAAGGAATACTAAAAAAAATGTGTTTTGTGAAAAGGTTACTCGAATACTGATGGATAACTTAATTTCGTAATTTAAATGAATATTTAGTTTATGTATTTCAAACTTTCAACGAAGAAAATATATTGCGTTAAAAAACGGAATAAAACATACGCAGCATTTTGAAAATTTTCTATTAAAATTCTTTGAATAAAAAAAGCTTTTAATTTTGCCTTTTTTCGTCTTCTAATTTTTCTTCTCATGCAAACAATTGAATTTCCTTACACAGTATATGTTTTTAGATATTTGGTTTCATTGGACGTGACGACTCGCTTCCGTCATACGGTTCCGATTGTAAACGTTGCAATTGCGATCGAACCATACCTTTTTATTCGCTTTGTCAAGTTCGCGGGGTGGCACACAATGCATGCAACGCGTTAAACAAGCATAACTCACTATATACGTATAGAATATTAAATGGAGTGAGACAGAGATCCAACGATAATTCATTACCAGTTTGAATCGTGACATTCATTTCCCGTCTATAGCGAAAAATCGCAAAATTGACGAGTCGAATAAAGGAGTGAATGAGAAAGAAAGATCCTGCGCGAACGCAGGACGTTATTTTACAAATAGAAAATGGACACATATTGATAATCGGTTAAGGCGGAGAAATTATCGTTTCGTTCATCTTTCAAAATGGAGCGTCGGATACGAAAGAAAGATGAGACGAATAATATTCCATTATTGTTGGTATTAATAGATCTCATTTTTTCCTCGTCTTATTTATCTCCATTTCAATGGCTCGAAAATGCAAATATCGAGATATCGAACGGTTTTTTCGATATACAAACGAATTTTATTTACAATGGGAACGATCTTTTCGTTCTGCTTGCTTTGAATTGGAATTGTATACTTTTGTATGTTACTTAGACAAAAAAAATAATTTTGTAAAATTTCAAAACGTTGAATATCTTGATATTTATATATTAAATTATTCACATAATCTATTTTTAAAATTTCTTTTATGACATTTAGAAGACTAAAAGTATGTATACTTTATAATAAGAAAAAACTTGTATACTTTATAGTAAAAAAGAGAGTAAAATCTAATATAAACAGAATGACAATGAATTTTCCTGTATTTTATTTAAAAAAAAAAGTATTTTTGAAAAATATAAAACGAATACATTGATTTGTGTAATATTTAGTCGGAACTCTACTATGAAGTTTCATTTTGCCAAATTTCTTTTCATCTCTCAAAGAGATAAGCGTGTATGTATAATAGTTTATAACCGAATAGTTGTACACTAATCGTATTTTCGACAATCAATAAGATGACAATCTGTTTTAGATGGATGCCGTGTCAGTTGAAAATTGAACCGAATATCTGCAGCTGCGACTACGATGGTATAATCTTGGTCTCCGGGAGTGCGCCTGGTTTCGATGAGCCAGAACCGTTCAAAACGGTCCTCTATAGCGCTGCACAGATCGATTCCGCCCTCGGTGTAATCGGTGCTGTCTTGTCGATCAACCTGCCTGCGAAAAGACTTATTTATAGTCCAACTGGACCACTCAACATGGATTATCATGATGTACGAAGCTTTGGCGAGGCCGCCACGAAGGGTATCGTACGGTAAATTTATAAATATTAATTTAATTTTCGAGAAGATCGATTTGAAAAATTAATTGGAAACGTATACATTTATGAAAGATGTCTTCTAATAAGTTCGACAAAATCGATTCTATTACATCGGTATTATTTAAGTCCATAAATAAAAAGAAACTTTTCTTTAAAAAAAGTCTTTCTTACACAACTTTACGTTCAGAGGATATAGTAGATATGTGTCCTTTTGAAAAATCGTGATTGAAAATTTCAATAAAAAGATGATGAATCGTACATAAATATGATTAATTCTTCAGCTAAGTGCGTAAATTTCAAGAATGGATTTAGATCGGTATGTCGGTGTACTTTTTATATTAATCAGTTAAGTCGTTTTCGCCGATTAACAAATTAAAGAAATTATATAGATCATTAATAACAAGGAAATATCTTCAGAACTAGAAATCACAAAGATTTGCAAGATCGTATTAAAGGGTTCATTTTTTAAATATTTTTCCACCGTATTATTAAAAACAATTTATTAAAAAAGTTTTTTATTATAAACGAATTTGCAAAAACAATTTTTTACAAATCATAACAGAAACCAATAATTCTGAAATAAAAAAGGAACTCTCATCAAATATATTATTAGTGTATTAGTTATATACAAATATAGAATAGTAGCTTTAAATTTTAAGATAGCGATAAAGATAATTAACTTTCACAGGAAGTAAGAAAGACTAATTTAATGGAATCATTAAGAAATATACTGGAAGCAGTGGCACCTACGATGTTGATAGACGTTACTCGCAAATTTCTTTGATTATCACCACGGCAGGAATTTCATTTTTCAAGAAAATTTCACGAAAATCGAATGAATGGATCGCACGGAATTTCGTTTGCACATCCAGATACATTTACGCGCGAATTCGTGTAAAAACGTACACAGACATATTTCAGTGTAATAGCGTACTGTCTCACGAACATATACACATAGAAGTAGAATTCAATACGCAAGCTAAGTGTCGAAACGTGAGTATTCGGAGAGGCAATTCTCTCTCACTTTCTCTCTTTTCTTCTCCCCCTTTTTTCTCTTCTCTCTCTTTTTTTCTTTCTTTTTAGTAGAACAGGCAGTTCTGGAATGCGAGTGAAGGTGTCTAAAATCAAGCAAATGTAATATCGAAGTCTGTTTGATTAGTTACTTTGGAAGAATATGGTGTGCATTAAAACGCCACAGTCAGTTAGTGGCGCGAACCGATTTTCTCCACCTTCCTTTTTTTCATCGGACAACGAAGAGAATCGCCGAAAGCGACGATCCGAAAACAGATATCTCGTTTTTTAGCGTTTAGACACATCATCGTTCTCGTTGCCGGATTTAATTATCTTCATTTCGTGCTGGAAGAACGACTATTCTTCCCGCGTTTTCTATTTCCGCGTCACGCTTGGACACAGTTAGACAAAAGAGCATGTCGAAATTCTGCGCATAATCTATAAATATTAAAAGAGATAGAGAGAAATGAGAGAATGACGAGAGAGAAAAAGAGAGAAAGAGAGAGAGAGAGAGAGAGAGAGAGAGAGAGAGAGAGAGAGAGAGAGAGAGAGAGAGAGAGAGAGAGGAAGAGAGAGAGAGATAAAAAGAGATTCGTTGAATTTTCGTAACATCGATAGTTCGAAATATGTACCGAAATGTTTTATTAGCAGGTTAAACATTTAAATGACTGCATGTTGTTCGACATTAATGAATTCTTGCGGATAATACCTCGTGTGCGAGAAAAAACGTCCTTTTTTCATTCGAAGATCGTGAGAAATTCCTTTGAAACGACAAATGAATCTTTTTATTAGACTTCGTATACGAGTGCAACTTTAATTACATAACTGAAGGCGACAAATTAATGGCGCACCACCACCAAATTGTATAAACTTTTCCGTGCTTGGAACATGTGTAAAAATAAATTAGATAAACATACTATGCAATTTTCGATTGAAATCCTAAATGTAAAAGCAGCAATTTTAACAAATTGAAACGAGAAAAAAGATTTTTGATTGTTGACATTAAACACTATACCATGGTCACTGGTCAAATGGTACTGCTCAAAAGCGATCTCGATATACCAGGAATTAATGGGAATTTAGCTCCCATCGTAAACCACGCCAACACGGAAATAGATTTGTCGTTGGACATCGTAAATATAAAGAGTACAGAAAACATTGTACAAGAGAAACATACACGTTTAACGTTTTAACCTTTTGATTTAACAAAAAGATATGATATTGCATCGGTAATATGTTGTATTTAAATGAGTTATCAATAGAGAGATCATTTAATTATAACATTTAGTTATAACAGAAACCAATAGATAGGGAAAAAATCCATTTATCTCCAGTCACCAATCTAATCAGATAATTTTGTTCAACAGAGCTCTCAAAGCTGGCGTGAGATGTCCGTTGCTAGCACTTCTACCAGATGTCCGTTTCGAAAACGTTGAACTGGTAACATTGCTCGGTGCTCTGGAAGGTCTCTATGTGGTAAGTAATAGTCAAAGGAGAGAATAACATTTCATTCTCGTCAATTTGTTTAATAAGAATTGAAAGAAATCTGTAAACAGTGTTAAAGCGTGTAATGTATAAAGGGTATACAAGTGTGTATACTTGAATAAATACATAGAACCTTTTACGAATATAATAGAAAAGACATTTTGCGTGTGCGTGCTGTGTTACAAGTGAAAATACATTTTCGAGATAGCTTGTTTTGTGTTTACTGATTCATTATCAGAGGAAAACCGTTTAAAGCGTTGAGGGCAAAGTCGATGCAGCCATGTATGCAGCTGCGTTCACACAATGGGAAAGCCTGTCTGTAATAGTATCTCGAAGGAATTGCTATCGCTTAGCAAACTGAGTTCTGAGAGAATTGTTTGATCTATCTTTCTCTCTCTCTCTCCTCTTTCACTCTTGGCATTTATCCTCGTAAACTCGTGGATACTAAGGTATATCACACGCGTGACATTAACCAATGAGTCGAGACGCATCTCACAGCTAATTCTAGTCAACCGTTTGCTTCATCTTGGTGAAAGTTTGTCCTCGATCAAATCGATTAAAATATAAAAAATTCTGCTAGACGAAGGATAGGTCGTTAGAAAAATTTTCTTTGTGAGTAACATTCTCCTATTATCTTTCAGTTAAGCTAGAAGAATGGCTAAAATGTCGAAAGTTTATGCAAGGTCACGTCGTAGCGCAAATATTGGCAAAAGATAACGGCGCACGCGTATTTTCACCAGCAGCTCACAGAAACTTTCGACAAATGCAGTGCACGGTTAAAAGCCTGAGAGTAGTGACACAAAACTTCTAACAAGTTCTTATTCGCTCTCTTTATCTATCCCTCTCTCCCTCTTTCTCTCATTTTCTACTTCTTTTTTTCTCTCTCTCTCTCTCTCTTTTCCCTTGTTGGATGTTGTATCATTTCCTCCTTACCCACTTGACCAAAGAAATCCTTTCTTTTTTATTAAAAAAAATAAAATTCGCTTCCTCTGCAAAGGAACATATACGAAACTTAGATCGAAAGCTTCTTTATTTGAGGTGATTGAAATTTGTAACCTTTTGACATATAAATAAAATAAAATTCGATACGATTAAGAATTTTACTTAATATATATCAATTCTTACAAATAAAATTACCATCTATATTATAAAATAGGAATTCTTAATCATATGTCTACGGTACAAATGTGCCCATAGAACTATTTGCATGCAGCCGCGGCAAATTATTAAATATCAGACAATAAATTATAAATGAAAAATATTACTATTTATATAGTTATAAATATGTATAAGTAGGTTTAGGCCAAAGTATTCGAAAAACAACAAATCCTTTTATTAAAACGAAGATATAAGCAGGTTGTCTACTGTCTTCCGAGATATACAAAATTCCTCTCGTCTGTACATTCGCCTGACACTCGATGCTCGATAAAGCTCAACTACTTTACTCTGTTCTACTCTCTTATACTCTTTACTCTATTCTGTTTTATTATATTCTATTCTCTTCGTACTGATGCTAGTCTTTATATTGATTATCATTTTTTTTTCACTCGCTCATCGCTTTCTTTCATCCATGTATATCTTTTAGCATACGGGTCTAAAATATTATCATTTGAGCATGTCATGAATGTTGTTATTAACATAATTAACAGCATTAGTGCAAATCCTTTATCACATCGAATGTTGAAAGCCTTATTAAAAAAAATGAATCAACCGAATCTAATCTTATTTTTAACACAAATATGAAATGATTTACTTAAAGTAAAGCTTTCGAACTACTTTTTATTCTGTTAAAAGAGATAAAGAATTTTTTTAATTCAAAAGATCAAACATTTAAATAATTGAATGACATTCATTGAATTTTGCTTTTCTAACCGATATTTTTAAAAAAATTAAAATATTTTAATACTGAACTTCAAGAAAGAAATAAACATTTAGTTGGAATGATTAATTTCGTAACAACATTTAAAAATAAAATACTATTTTGGATATTTAAATTGAAAGAAAAAAAAAAATATATATATATATATATAGGATATAAATATAGGATATTTTTTGAAACGCTACCTGGATGATCATTTACTCTCGATTACTTTATTAATACAGATACTATGATTAAGGTGTTACAACTTAAAATACTATGACCCTTTTCTTTTTCTCTGATCTATTCAAGGCTTTCCTCATTACTCTTTGTTGGTTTACTCAAGATTATACGCGATACTTTTAATTCTGCTCTTTTATATTTCTTCTTTCGTTGGTCTACTCAAAACTTGGTCCACTCAGGACTTTCGTTGTTACTCCTTGTTTGGTCTACTCAAGACTTTCCTTCCTTTGTTCTTTTTCGATTACGTACACTCCATAGTCTTTCTCATCCTCACTCACATTTATGCACACGTATTTGGTAACTTTTATCGCTCTTTTATCCTGTTCCTTTATTTCGTTGCCTATCTTACACACGCTGCATTTCCATCTCACTCACTCTCTCAATATCACAGAGGGAAAGAGAGAGAGAGAGAGGGAGAGGTATGAGAAGGCTTCGTAGGAGAAAAAACGAACGAATAGATAGCATTCCAGAAGCCTGGTAGCCGACTAGGCGACCTAATTAGCGAAATACTCGAACGCTCTAGCAGCGGCGACGCAATTCGAATTCGTAGCCTTCTTTCCTAGCCACCATCTCGCTCCCTTTCCCTCGATGAGGACGAATAGGAGGCATCGTTTTCCAAATACCGGAAAACGCCTTTGAAATTCCGACAGCGCGTAATCTGAACGTCGTTCTAAACTCTTTTTGTCTTCTTTTCAGCGAATTCTGAACATGACTCGACTACAACGGATTCGTCGGAATATCGGGTGTTTAATACTGGTACATTATTTCGATAAGTTATACGACATTAGAAGCACCGATATCCGACGTAAGTTGCTTTTCCCCTTTTTTCCCGGCTTGTCGACAAAAACATCTGTGAAATTCTATTTCTGTTCCTTTCTCATTCTTTTCTGAGCTTTTGGCAGAATGTTTTTCCTGTCTTGTAAACTTACGGATTGCTTGATTTTAATTATTTTACTCTCGACTTTTTTTTCTTCTTTTTCTTTTAAGAGATCTCTTTGAATAATAACGAAGTATGTTACTCCGAATTTGCGAATTTAAAATTTAAACAGCGATTCTTTGTCCAACAATTTCGTTTATTCGATGCAATTAACTAAAAAAAAAAAAAAAAAATAAAAAAAAACCAGTGAAGAAGTTCTCGTGGAACTTTTAAGTTTTAAATGTTTCTTATAATCATAAATTATCGATCCTTCGAATTCAGGCTGAACCAACAAAACAATATCGTTACAATTTTAAAGTTGATCCTCGTTTTTTTGTCAAAAAAGAGGCTCTCCCTAGATATCGGTTATTACTTCCATAAATCTTATCCCATGAGATTTCTTTACTCTTTCGAACATCCTTTGCGTAAAGATAACGCAGTACCTTCTTGATCTTTTTTCCTAGCAATCGACTTCGCGAAGCAACGAAATCGTACGACCATGCATAATTTCTTAGGCAGAAATTGCAGTACTGTTTTTGTAATTTACGAATCGGATCGAAGGAACAAACTTTTTAAAGAAATAAAAAAAGAGCAGACACATCGAATCTTTTTAATGTATATTTTATACATTTTCTAGCCTCTCGAGGTAAGAGAGATATGTCCTGAACGTTGCTACAAGGCATGTCAACTAGCAGTCTGGAGTCCAATTTGCAGCAAAAAACTCCAGGGTATAGTGAAACTAGCCTCAGCCTTGGAAAGTGGCAGATACGTCGCAAGGGACATCGGTAAGTCCTCTTTCCTTTGCTTTCTTTTTTGATTGAATACAGTTCACTATCGCCAACGGCATGCCCCACCAGTCCAAAATCCCTTGCAAGTTTATTGGGCGAATCGAGTAACTTTCTCAGTCGAGCAAGAAAAAGAGAAGTATCTCTCTTGATTCCTTTTTCGCTGCAGGAATTTCAACCTCTGGACGATCTTCCAGCTTTAAGGAAAATTTGTCCGAGCAATTGAGTTTCTTGTTATTCGTATGCATCTTCAAATTGTTTCATTTAAAATCAATCATGCCTTTGAAACATCTATTTTCCTCGAAAGAAAATATATTGCAATTCTTGCTCAACAATGTAGACTTCGATAGAAAATAAACTTTGAAAAATATTCTAAGTTATTTATTTTTTCTTATCTATGTCTAGTTATTTATGTCTTTAGAAAAACAATGACGTAAATACGCTTAATTTAGTTTTCTAAGTGTTGTTGATAAAAACAAGATTGACTGTAGGTGTTCCTCAATTTACTACGGTAACATTAACTTTTCTACACTTTGTACATTCACCTTCAGTACTAGTAAGAATGAGAAGAAAAGAAAGATAATTCAATTTCGTAGAGTAATCTATAACAACCTACCTCTCGGGATTTGGCCTGAATTTAAATCATCCATCTGCTAATGTAAAGAATAAAATAATAACTCTAATAGCGTATCTTTTAACTTGGATAGGTAAACGATTTTGATATAATTTTTATCGGAAATGCTTTTAGCCTTACTGCCTAATGTTTAAGATCGATTTTCAGCTTCTTTACAAGAACGCCGTATAAATATGCAACGAACGTCGATATGTTTACCAAGTTGATCGATGCTGAACCACGTAAAACATTCAAAACGTTTAGCAGCATTTGTATATGTAAGAAAAAGAATATAAGACCGCGTAAATATGTACAGATTCATTTAATTTAGGAAAAATATTTATCCACTAGAAAGCACCAAGGAACAGATCGTGAAATTCATTATGACGAAAGTGCATTCAATCGAAAGATTTAACAATGTTGCAAGAAAACGAATAATGCTATCGACATTTTTTCTTTTGTTATCCTGCTTACGTGCTTGTTTATACGTTGTCGAACAATGAAATAATTTTCCTTGTTCAATCATTTGGAAATAAAAATATTGGATTATTTTGTTTTGGTAAATAAATAAATATATTAATTAATTGATAGGTGGAGCTGATCCAGAGAGAATGGCACCGCCGAGAGTGGAAGAGTACTTGGCCGAATTGTTTTGCGGTTCGAATGTGACAATGCAGGTGATATCTGATCAGGATACCTTGCTTCAGGAGTATCCTCTCTTTGCCTGTGTCAATCGGGCAGCCTCAGTAATACCGCGTCATGCCGGCAGAATCATCTTCCTGACTTACGAACCACAGAATCCTGCCTGCGTTCTAGAGACTGTAATGCTTGTAGGGAAAGGTGTCACTTACGATACCGGTGGTACGGACATTAAATGTCAAGGGGCTATGTACGGTATGTCGAGAGACAAGTGCGGGGCTGCTGCCTGTGCGGGATTTATGCAGGTTTGAGTTTAATACTTTCAAAGAGAAACATTTTTTCTTTAAAAATTTCATGAACAAAAAGATTTGATCTAAATATAATTTATATATTTTAACAAATAAATATATAAAAAAATAATGTTATTCAGGTAGTGAATCTTTTACAACCACCGACAGTAAAGGTAGTAGCTGCACTGTGCGTACTCAGAAACAGCGTCGGTGAGAATTCCTATGTTGCCGACGAGATAATAACTGCAAAATCTGGAGTGAGAGTACGCGTTGGTAACACAGATGCCGAAGGTCGCATGGCCATGGCTGATGCGCTTTGTCATATTAAAGAAATGGCACTTTGCTCGGTGAATCCTCACATCTTTACGGTGGCGACCTTGACCGGTCATGCTCATTTATCGGCTGGTACTGGATATTCCGTAAGTACTTTTATTAATTTACTTTTGTTCTCTCTAAATTATTATTTTCATTGATATCATGTTTTCACTGATCTCGATGATCTTAAAGATTGCCATGGACAACGCCGTAGCCAGGCTGGTTAGTAACGCAGAAAAGCTTCAAGCTTCAGGTGAGACAATAGGTGATCCCTTCGAGATATCCAGAATACGCAGAGAGGATTTCCGTCTCCATGAGGGACGTTCGGAGGGAGACGACGTGTTACAGGCAGTAAACAAATCAAGTGTGAGAACGGAAAGAGGTCATCAGGGACCTTCAGCCTTTCTGATTATGACCTCTGGCTTAGACAAAGTATTCACTAAATTTTAATTATAACAAAAATACTTTCTTATTTTTTGCTCGTATTTATTTATGATCGAATGGTCATGAATTACTTTTAGAATGGTACTCATTCCGAGAAGCCGCTAAAATACTGTCATCTGGATATAGCCGGTAATGCCGGTGATATTCCAACTCAACCAACAGGTTCACCGATCTTGGCATTGGCTAAACGATTTCTTCTGGATAAAATTATGCCTTCCTAGGGCAACAAGAAAAGTACAAAAAAGTGATAACGAGTATATTTTTCAGGACCTCTGGAAGACTATCTACCTTTCCCCATTATTTCGAACGACTCATATTTCTTAATGTTATCCCACGTTTTTTCCAAAATCCTTAATCTTTACTTTATTCCAGTTTTCGATTATTAACGAATTACTTTCGAACTGATGAACGCATATTTTTTTTTTTTGTTAATATTTAAAATTATATTTTTTAAATATCGTTATCGATGTGGCTGTCAGCTAAAGCAATATATTATGTACTGTCACTTTCTTTCAGAGATGAATATTTTATTGATAATTGGCAACACCGAGAGCATTAATGATAAATTTAACGACTGTTTCATTATAATGACGTTTAAGACCTTTTGATGCTTAAGACTTGTTTAGTTTTTATTTTTCCTTCTCGATATCGATTACAGCATGGGGCTTGCAGCTGTTCACCCTTAAAGTACACGCACATCGACATACACGGTCATTTGCCGCGTCCACATCACCTACCTTACAACGGAAATCCCGTATTGGCATTGTCCTATTGCTACCTGATCCAAGGAAAATGTCTCACAGTACGAAACGATCTACCTTTCGAGATGCAATACGTCTGCGAAGTCGATTGCAAATCTGTCCACATACCACCATGTCAACCTTGCACGATTCCCTGCGAGCCTGTTCCTATACCCTGCACAGCTTCTCCTTGCGGTGGATGTCTTCCAGATTCTTGCTATCCACCCTGTCAACCCTGTCAACCATGTCAGCCCTGTCAACCATGTTCTACCTGCGCAGAACCGGTAACAGTCTTAGAACCTATGTGTCAACCGAATGTTCAAAGAAAGAACTAATGACACTGCTATATATTTTGTTTTTTTATAATAAAATATTTCAAAAACTTTTTGAGCACATTTGCTTATTATACATCATCATTTTTGTAACGTAATATAAAAATCAGTTATATAATTTCATGATGATAACTTGTAGTCTTTTTTTATACAATTCTTATGTAATTAAATAAAATATAGATTATACATTTCACAAAGTGCGTTTGGTATTGAAAATATATAACTTATCTTCGAAAGATAAAGTAAAGCTACCAAAAACATGAATTAAGTATCTGTATATATTAATTTTAATTAATATCTTTTAAGATTTTATTTAAAAAAAAATGATAGACTGGACTGAAAATAACAATATTTGCTTTGAAACTGTTTGATATCTATAATCGTTTATAAATAATAAAATGTAAATAAATAATATCTTCAAAAATGTTTTATGCTTTCTAAAAGTGAAACAATAAGACAATTGCATTTTAACGAACAAATTTTCTATTTATATACAAAATTAAAGCATTTCAAAACAATTTTAAAATTTTTTGTGTATAACTTTTGTGATAATTTAAACAAATTTTAATTTTTTTCTTGGGTACAATGGTGTTTCATAAAATTTTTCGACATATATATAACGGTTTCGGAGGAAAATTAGAAAAATAATAAAAGGCCAAAATTTTATATTGGTAACGGACAATGGAAAAAATAGAGTATTTCTTAAGAGAAAATTCTCTATGTAGTCACATAATTTTATAATTTATTGAATTTTCGAATTTGTAGAATTTTTTCTTATAAGAATTGGTAAAAAACAGGTATATGGACTGTTGGTAAAGTAGGTCTCCTTCATCCATAAAGTATAAAGTATTTTATCGGTCGTGTACTTTTTATAAGTATAGTTTCAAAATTTGTCCTGCATAAAATTTGTATTACCAGCATATGCTTGTATTTTTGATATATCGAAATAAGAGCGTCATTTCTTATATCGATAATGTAGACTTCTGTATCCCGCGCATATTAAAATTCTCACATCAATTTATTACAAAAACAATCAGATATTAACTTTAAATTTTATTGGCATAGGGTATACGGTAATTTAATTTTTACACATACTTAGAGAAGGATATATATAGATTTGTATTAATCAGTTGCAAAATTCCAGACGATTCTGCCTCTTTTCGAAATATAATTTCTTATGCATTATCATTAAAAAATTATTGGATTCAATTGAAATGAATTTAATCGAGAAAGAAAACAAAAAAAGGAAAAAAGAATCGATTAGAAAAATCGATCATTCTTCTCCGCTCGTCCTTTCGGCTTACTGCACGAAACGCAAAAGGTGCAAATCATAAGCGTGAAACGCTCATGGAAGGGAAACTTAATTACGGGCACGTCCTTTCTTAATTAAGAGAAAATGTTTGGCGTATCTTGACGAGATTACGGTGTGCGAGGCGGGCTTCCGTTTGCTGTGCGCCAGCGTGCGCGTTCTCTCACGATCGAAGGCCCGATCCAAAACAAACCTCGGCATTCTCTTCGCTCGAGCGACTACCGCATTGATTAAACGACAAGCGAGAGAAATCGCTGTTCGCAATGAATCGTTCGACACGAGATATCGCGTTCGTTTGTAGCGTTATATAAACGTTTAAAAAATGCATCATTTCTTTTTTCATTGTTTCATATGACTGATCTTTTATTAAAAACTTTGAAGAATTAAATGGTTGAGAAATAAAAATTTTTAACTTCTTGGAAGTAAACAAAATCAAAATGCATACTTTTTCGTAGATTTAAGAACATCGTTTTCTTTCATATCCTGAGAGTATGTTAATCGACTCTCCACGAGGACAAATAGATTCACATTATTTCGAGGTTTTTCCATTAAAGGATCCAAAAATTGGTATCGATCGTGGGAGGGATACCATCGAGCAAATTTTGACGATCGTAGTAGCGTTATTAACTCGATACACACTAGTTGACATTGTTTAAAGAACTTGAAAGTAGAGAATCGTTGAGGAGGAGGAGGAGGAGGAGGAAGGAGAAGTAGCGAGAGAAGGTTGGCACATGGTGGGAAGCGTTCGCGAGAAGGACGAGGATGAGAAGGAGGAGGAGGAGGAGGAAGAGAAGGTATAGAGAACAGTGGAGAAGGAAGAGGAGGTGGCGGCAGGGGGCAATGTGGCGGGTTCGACGGCCGGCTGGTGGCCCAGTGACCGGGACCGGTTCCCTCCACGGTTCCTCCTTCCGCCTTCCTTGCAAACGCACAACTGCATCATCTCGACTCGACTCCCCCCTTCTCCGTCCCAACCCCTACCAGCTTCGCTCTCGCTCCCTCTCGAACCCTTTCCTGGCTCTTCGTTCGCGTCACTCGCCGAGTTGAGACTTCCTCGCTCCCCTCTTGCTATCGCAGCCACGCTATCGTTCCCTTCTCCTCCTGCTTCTCTTCGTCCTGATCCTCCTCTTCGGCTTCTTCTTTCGCACGAAAGCGTTGCCACACGCGCGAAACACCTCTCCACTCCTCTTTCTCTTTCTTTCTTCTTCTTCTGATTCGCTTCTCTTCTTTACCTCCCTTCCGTCTTACACTCTACCGTCTGATCTCTCTACTCTTTTTTCTCTCTTCGTTCTCTTCGCGGCGCTCCTCGTAAGGCGGAGGTCAAAAAGAGCACTATCCACCTCCTCCTTCTATCTCTTTTTCTTTCGCTCTTCGTTCAGTGATCGAGCAGCAATAGCTACGGGTGGACGAGCAACTATTTATCCCACGCGACGACGTGGGCAGTCCACGGATAGTAAGGACGGCCCCGAAGGATGAACGAACGAACGAACGTGTAAACGGACGTGTATCTTACCGACTTTAGCCTCTCTTTCTCTCTTTACTATGTGGTATATATGACTCCAAAGGTGTATCTTTAAATTCAAGATGGGCATGGTTGGGCACCTCAGTCAAGGGCTTGAAAGGAAAAGTAGTTCTATGCGAGAGAAAGAAAGAGGGGTGGAAGAGGATGGGAGGAGGAGGGAAGTGAAAGTACAAACCGAGAGAGAGAGAGAGAGAGCCGTGTTATCGGCGCATCCGAGATTTCAAGCTACCTACCGTGTCATTCTGCGTTGTTTCGATCAGTTTTTCTTTTCCTCTATTATTCCCTTTTTCCTCCTACTCCTCCTCTTTCTTTGTCTTTTTATCTTCCTCTTCCATTTTTTATAAATTTCGCATCTTGACTTTATAAGATCTCACGCTCGTTATTGTGCTAATTCTAACGTTAATTCAAAACAACATACTGTGGTCAACTCCCTGTTACCGGAAATATACTGAGATATTTTTTCTGCGTAATAGCGATGTTTTTCTTCTCTATACTCGTCCCCATTGAAGTCAAATAACTCGATGCAAATCGTTTTTGCTTTCGAAATGTTTCTGAAAACTGGATTACTCCTATTCGACTATTTACTGATCAATAGACAGTTGTCGAGACTCAACGTATACAGATCGTTTTCGTATCCTGCTTGCGATCTGCTGTAACAAAAAAAGAAATTGTAAAAAAAATAGGAAGTCAAAAACGAAGGAACAAAGCATGGCAGAGTAAACGAGAACATCCGTTAGGGGAATGAGACCATCGAGAACTGGAAAAGGACGAAGGACAAAGGTATATAGCGGGATAATCTATATGAGAGTGAGAGAGAAAGAGAGAGGAAGAGAGAGAGAGAGAGAGAGAGAGAGAAAAAGAGAGAGTCCGACGAAAGAAAGAAAATGGGCCTCGGTCATTCGCGCCAAACTATACTTGGGCAATGTTATAACGGTACTCGCGAGAAGACCCGCTTTACGAATACATTTTCGACTTAGTAACCCTTGACTGGCGTTTTTTTGCTCCCCTCCCTCTCATTTGCTAAGACTTTCAGTGGAATCTGTTAATCGGAAGATAACTAGAACGAGAGATGATGATTTAGTACTGACTCCACGTCCTTCTTTCTTCTTTTCTTTTGCTCTTACCTTTTCTTCTTTTTCTTTTCTTCCGTGCACTGACAGAAGGCTTTACGCGGAATCGATCAGGGGTATCACGCGACTGTCCGAAAATGGTACGTGACGATCGACACATACTTGCTCAAGTCTGCTTCATAAGCTCCCAAATATGAACTCTAAAACTATGGATCGCTTAATTAATATTCATTCATTTGTAAAGAGTTGGATATTTGTTTAATTCGATTATATTGGAGGATGAAAAGTAATTTACATTTGGGAATAGAACCAATTTATTTAGATGATGAGAAGAGAGACGAGTAAGGTAACAAATGAAATTAATGATCTAATAATAAAAATGTAACTTTTTAGGAACGTGTTAATTTGAGAGCGACTTCTTTGCTGATGTGGAATTTTGCTACATTTGGTCATGCCTTTTAATTTCGACAACGAAACCTGCACATCATCTTTTTTCTACTCACAATCAACAAAAAACAGGACCCCGTGAAATATATTATTTATTGGGCATCCTCAACTAAGATCAGAAAAGAATGTAGAGGTGAGTTTCCGGTTTATCAAAGGCCAAACGTCTGATAGTTGCATGATTAACTTATGAAAAGTTAACTCCTAATGTGGACGAGTCGTTAAGAAATCGAAGTCAATCAACTAATTGATCCCCGTATCTAATATCGATCTGTTACACATTATTATGAAGGGCGTACGAAGGCATTGCGTTTAACGATCTTTGCTTCGTCACGTCGCGAGTAACTTGAAGGTGTTAACTCGACCACTCAGTCAATTTTGCAATAGCCGGTAAGCACGTTCGTCTAATACTTTTCACTAACTTAAAAAGTACTAATTATTGACATCTTTTTTATATCTTGAATAAAAAGTCTGCGAAGTATTGTGTTGAACAACGATGTGTTTTTTATAATAGATACTCAATAGAGTATGCTCTATTAGTATATATATTTATATATATATATATATATATATTTATATATAAAAGGAGAGAGAAAGAGACAGAGAGAGAGAGAGAGAGAGAGAGAGAGAAAGAGATTGAGAAGGAGAGATAGAAAATGACAATAATCTTCTCGATTTACGAATGAATCGAAATAACACACGCGCTCGATGTA